ATGTCGTCCAAACCTAACATGACGCTTTCCCATACATTTTTGATTAGGCTTGGATTGGACATAGTAAGCGTTACTTCAATCAATATTTTTACTAGAAATAGTTAAAATTATGAACAAAATAAAGATCATAGCCCAATCTACTATTTATGAACCTTATTGATAATAAAATTTAACTAGTTGGTTTGGTATTTAGCCTTGAGGCAAGTTACATGAACTTCCCGAAATGTGTAAATAATCGACTTAATCAAAAAAATGTGTAAATAATATACTTCATTAATCCTACTTTAAAAAAAACGATAATAATTTTAGCAAACTTTGACGAATTTTTAAAATTAAACTACTTGTCGTTAGGCCGTAATATTACAGTAAGTTCTATAAGACCATGATGTATATCGCCAAAAAAAATTCCATGAAAATCAGTTAATTACAAGAAAACGGCTCGGTAGATTTTCACCTAAAATTAATCAGTACCATTCCCAACTAATATCTTTCGAACAGTTTTTGATTTTTTAAAATCGTTCGGTAGGATGAGCTTAAATGTGGATGAAAAGTTTTTTTCAAATTACAAAGAAACGGCTTGGCAGATCGTTGCACAAAACTGACAAACGATAGTCCTCACCGAAATACATCAAATGGCTTTTAAATTTTTAAAATCGGTTCAGACGTTTTTGAGAAAACGTCGATCAAAAGTCTAATTTTGACAAATGCCAAAAAGACCATACTGATTTTTGCAAACTTTGACGAATTTTTAAAGCTGAACCAGTTGTCGTAGGGCCGTAATATTTTAGTATGATCTAGAAGACTATGGTATCTATCGTCAAAAAAATAATCATAAAAATCGTCGATTTTTTTTTTTTTTAAACTTTATTACAAGAAAACGGCCCGGCCGATCTCTACCAAAAACTAATCAGCACGATTCCCAACCAATATCTTTCGAACGGTTTTTGAATTTTCAAAATCGATTCAGAATTGCGGGCTAAAACGTAGACGAAAATTTTTTCACTTTTCTGCCATTTATGAAGAAACGGCTTGGCCGATCGTCGCACAAAACTGACAAACAATAGTTCTCGTTGAGATACATCGAATGGCTTTTAAATTTTTGAAATCGGTCCAGCCGTTTTCGAGAAAACGTCGATTTACGGCAAAAAATCTGTTCACATACACACACACACACACACACATACTTTTTCCAAATTTGGTCTCATTCGATTCAGAATGGCTTGAAACGTCGAGAAAACATAAAATTAGCGAATCGGGTTTTTTGATGAAAACATAAACTTCTCCTTCGGGAAGTTAAAAAGAATAAAAGTAACAATAAAAATGATAATCACAAAGTAGTAAATTATAAATCCATGAAAGAGCTAAATATCCTAGGTATTGAAATACCTAAACTATGGCCAGATACTATATTGTCGTAATTATAAACTAACATATACCACAAGTTTAAAAATGTTTGTTTTTTTATTAAGAATTATTTAAAAAGTTGATCGATTCTCAAAATAAAACAATTGAAAAAAGTTATTCATGTACTCTTATTTGAAAACAGCATGCCGCAACCACGTATGTTACATTTTTTTCCGTGCGACAAACACGTATCTGAAAGAATTGAAGAAAAAATAATAAATAATTGTTACAAGATTGAATATTTTTAAAATTTATAAAAAAATTGTTAACAGCAGTTCAAAAATTCGTTATAAAACGTTTTTTGTCTCTCCTGAAAAGTATAATAGTAGTTTCTGAGATACGAGGTTGCGTCAGAAAAGCATCGATATGCGCATCACATTATTAGATATTTTATAGAGATTTTAATAATAAGTATGGAGCGATATTGCATTGAAAAAAAAGTTAAAAAAGTTAAAAAATTCCAAATTATTTCTAAATATAATTCAAATAAGTCAATTTACTCAAAAATTTAATATTCACAAAAATCAATCTTTTTTGAAAAATTGAATTTTTGGTACGGGAAGTTCCAGCAATTTGTCTTAAATGCCGTACACCAATAGGTGGTTTATTCGCTTCAAAAACAGTCGTATATGTGACCCTCCCACACTAGGAAAATGACATAGCTGGCGGGTGTTGCTCAAGAGCTAAGGTAATTAGGGGCTAACACTATAGTTTTATACTTCAAAAATTTCATTAAACTTATACTATTTAAACAGAAACCAATTAACTCTTATTTTTTACTTATATTACACATTTGATGACGTTTAAAAGCTGCATATTATAAAAAATATGAATTTTTCAACTTTTCAAACGGCAATATCTCAGAAACGGTGATACTAACAAAAAAATTAATAATAACAATTTCATAGAGAATTTTATAATAAATAAACTCATCTAACATAAAAAAAATTATGGTTTCGGCGGAAAATGGGAAAAACTAGATTTTTGCACCTTTGACCTTGAATAAAAAAAATCGCAGATGTCGGATCGTTGGGGTCTTTTGACATTTCATTTGTAATGGCCTATTTAACATCTGTACCAAATTTCAGCTCTATGCGAATTGTTCCTAACTGAAAACTTAATTTGACTGGGCTATAATCAATGCTAGTCCTTACCAAATTACATACAATGGCATTTGAAGTTATGAAATCAGTTCAATCGTTTTTGTGAAAACGTCAACAGAAGATCCAAAAAAACGCTAACATTACACACGCATAATTTTCGCACAAATGCTTTGTATGTATGGTTTCGAAGCGACAACCATGGTGAACTAAAATAATTTTCAATTCAAAAACCATTATTTTCATTCATCATTACTAGATCCAGTTTTAAATAACAAAAAAATAATACGTAAAGCTTTTTTCTTTTACTGACTATTACTTACTTATCGCTGATTTTTCGCTGTTGTATATGGATAGTGAATATTGCATGACTTCTACTGGATTGACTGTTCATTGCAGTTGCACCTACAGCTCTGCGACGATATCCTCTAACTAAACAATCTAATGTATCTTTTGCATTACGTACTTCAATTTCGGTTAATCCAGGAATTACAATTCTTTTTTGTTGATCTTCTCTGATATCAACTATACTTTGATCTCTATTTGATTTTGATAAAAGATCAAATAATTGTTCTTGATATAATTCCATAAATGATACCTGTAGAACATGAGAAAATACTTTACTGAAGAAATGACTTACTGTTATTATTATGTTTACAATTTCATAAACTATTATGATTTCTAAAAGCAAATTATATTAAATAGCAATCCATATACTCCTAAGGAGTGCAGAACAATTATATTCAACCAAACATATAGAAGTACAAACACAATGCAAAGATTTTGAAAATCTGACATGTTTAATTTCTGACCATTTATGGGTATTCAAATAAACTCTAATTACAGTGTAAAAAGGTTATGGCTTTTAAATTTTAATTCTCATTTAAACCTCATATGCTCCTTAACAATACACTTTAAATTTATTGCTTTAATATTTGGAAAGTAGTTTATATTGATCTAACTTGTAATTGAAAATTATATTGCTCCGTCAGAGTTGAAATTTTTTGAAAAATGTCTTTTACTGCTCTTGGTATAACACCCATCTCCTCGACTGGTCCAACTGAATAAGCCATGCCCATGGAATGAGTTTTTCCGGAGCCAGTCTGACCATAAGCTAATATTGTCACATTGTAGCCTAAAATATATTTTTAGATTGAACAAAATAATAAATAATAAAGTAAAGATACTGAAGATAAAAATAGAATTTGGGATTATAGATGAGAGATAAATTCACCTACACCAAAGTTATGTTATGTCAAAATTAAATTCTAGTAGAAATAAATTACCCTTAAACAATCCATCAACTACATCAACCCTTAACAGCAGTGTCATAAAATTCAGCTTGCGAAACTTCTGGTGGAAATGCATGGTTGTAAGTAAAAGAAAGATTTTTTATTAAAACTTGAGGTTTATTCGGCAGTGTTTCGAGGCATTTAACATATCTTTTAGAAATTTCGGATTTGACTAAAGGCCTTATCCTTAAAGCCACCTGTACACTAACAGCAGAATCAAATTTTTTCAAAAATCGTTTAAGCAGGTGTAGATCTTATATGAGATATTCTATTTTATTTATGAAGAAAATAATATAGTAAATAATATACTTCATCAATCCTACTTTAAAAAACGATAATAATTTATATCCATATACTCTCCTAAGGAGTGCAGAACAATTATATTCAACCAAACATATAGAAGTACAAACACAATGCAAAGATTTTGAAAATCTGACATGTTTAATTTCTGACCATTTATGGGTATTCAAATAAACTCTAATTACAGTGTAAAAAGGTTATGGCTTTTAAATTTTAATTCTCATTTAAACCTCATATGCTCCTTAACAATTGGATAAAATATAATTAATTATGTTGCCATCTAACGGTGTGCTTTAGAAATAACCAAAATCTGGTAGGGGGGCTTTTGACCCGCCATTTTGAGCTTTTGATTTTATTATTTTTATTTCTGTAAAATATAGTTGTTTAAAATACATGGCTAAGACAACATCGGCGTTTTCATTTAAGTATATTATACATTTTGGTCCATCGACACGGATCCAGTGATTAAAAATTACAGTCCACTCTTTAAAATTAAATATACGCGAGTTCGTCAAAACATAAAGCCAAACAAAGCTCTACGTGAATGAAAACCCGGGAACCTGAGAAGCCGCCATTGAAGCTTGGAAGCGTCGCCTGGAGTTCACTGGAATTGGAACAACTACAACTAAAGATCACAATTGGAAATACAAGTAAGTCCACAATTAGTCTAAAACCATTTCAAAATTGCTTAGTATAATTGTTTGTAAGGTTTAGTCTATGTACGGTATACTTTGTCATTGTGGTTATTTAATAAATCGGGATAGGAATTAGGAACATATTCCTATTATATATCAATACAATTTTCCCATTACATTCAAAAACTACGGATTTAAACAAATTGCGGTAGCAAATTTATATATAAACTATCGTATATTTTACACGTGCGTTTCTTGTAAAATTTAAAATGGCGGACATTGAGACGCTCAAACAACAAAGGGCTCGATTGATAAAATCTATCGCGCTTATTCAGAATTTTATTAATAACTTTCGAGAAGGAGATAGCAAACATGGCTTAATCCTCCGAAAAAAGAAACTAGTTGAGATTCTTCAAAGTTTAGAAGAAAATCAAACTGAATTAGATGTTAGATGTCCAGGAACTTACTCAAAAGAATATGAGGAGTTATTTGATTTACATTTTGAATTGTCAGCTCAAATTGAAGATATTTTAGAAACTAACATTAACGAAAATAAACCAAATATAGATTTAAAACATAGGCAAATTAACATCAAACTTCCAGACATAAATTTACCAAAGTTCAATGGAAATTATTCGGAATGGAATGCATTCATAGATATTTACAATTCACTTATACACAACAACGAGCATTTGTCAGACGTTCAAAAACTTCATTATTTAAAAGGGACACTACAATCACCAGCATCTGACTTAATAACAAATCTTTCTATGACCAATGAAAATTACAACACGGCATATAATTTACTGCAAGATAGATACAACAATAAATACTTAATAATTACATCACATCTACAATCTCTAAATGACATAAAACCTATACTACGAGGTTCACATGAAAATCTACAATCATTTTTGAACCAAGCGAGGCAGCAGACGCAGTCACTAGTAACAATTCACGAAGATGCAGTTTATTGGGACATAATTTTAGTTTTTCAGCTCACAAATAAATTAGATCACCATACTCGTTTAGCTTGGAGTCTATCACAACAAGAAGGAGAGCTGCCAACGTTAAACAAATTTTATAAATTTCTTGAAACCAGGTCGTGTGCGTTGGAAACTGCAACCAAGACTGGTAAGATAGAACATTCCGGAGCAAAAATAAAATCTGTAAATATAGTGTCTCAAGATAATCAGCACAAACCATGTATATATTGTAAATTGAAAGGACATCGTGTATATAATTGCTTTAAATTTAAGAAACTACCAATAACACAAAGACAGGAAATTTTAAGACTTAATCTCCATTGCGAGAAATGTTTAGAACCTGCTCATTCACCAGATGTATGTAAATTCAGTCAGAATTGCAAAATATGCCAGAAGAAACACCACACAATGATGCATGTATATAATGATAATAAAGATTCCACCTCAGAGGAAAAAGTGAGAAGCAGTGAAACTACGCAAAAGGTACTATTTTCACAAGAGTCCAATTCCATAAGCGTTTTGTTAGCCACTGCAATCATCAACATTGAAAACACTCGAGGGGAGCTTTGTGAAGCAAGAGCACTATTGGATAGTGGCTCACAGACCAACCTGGTCACAAAAGATTTAGCAGAAAGACTGCAGCTCCCACAATTTAATTCCCGAAACACTCTGAGTGTACTACAGGGCAAGTCATTAGGAGTATCTAAATCGACTAAAATCAAGATAAATTCAATTAATAGTTCGTATAGCAGATCAATAAACTGTATTGTAATAGATAAAATTACAACAAATTTACCTGCACAAAAATTGATGCCAGTGACTGGAAGATTCCAAATAACATAAAATTAGCAGATCCTTCATTTTCAAATCCTGGGCCAGTTGACGTACTAATAGGAGCAGAATTATTCTTTGAAATCATACAGCAAGGTAGTATAAAACTAGGCTATAAACTTCCCATGTTGAAAAACAGCAAGCTTGGATGGATGCTTTCAGGACCATATAAGGAGCCATCGATGCAACCGAGTTATGTAGGATTCATTTCCAATGATCAATTAAATTGCGAAATAACAAAGTTTTGGCAAATCGAAGAAATAGACAGCAGTCCTCCAATGCAGGGTTCGGACAAAATCTGTGAAGACCACTTTTTAAAGACAGTTCACCGACATGAAAATGGAAGATATGAGGTGAGTCTACCATTTATTGAAAATAGAAAGTCAGAACTTGGAGAATCATTCCATCTAGCCAAGTCACGCCTGTTAAACCTGGAAAGACGCTTTAAATCAGATAAAAACCTTTTGAATAAATATGCAGAGTTTATGGAAGAGTATATTCGGTTAGGCCATGCGCAAGAAACCACAGTGATACAACATTCAACTCAAGAAAATCCAGTTTATTATCTTCCACATCACCCCGTTATAAAAGAATATGGTACAACCAAGTTGCGGGTAGTATTTGATGCTTCGGCTAAAACATCTAATAATATATCATTAAATGACATCTTACATACAGGACCTAAGCTACAGCAAGAATTAATATCAATACTAATTAGATTTCGATGCTGGAAGTATGTTTTTATAACAGATATTACAAAAATGTATAAGGCAAGATAAAATTACAAAAATGTACAGGCAAATAAAAGTTGCTAAAAAGATCAAGAAGTGCAAAGGATTTTGTGGAGATGTGACCCAAAGGAAGACATTCGTTGTTATAAATTAACAACAGTAACCTATGGCACATCTTCCGCACCCTATTTAGCAATTCGTGTTTTGAATAAACTAGCAGAGGATGAAGAAAGCAGTACACCTGTAGCAGCAGATATTATTAAACAAGACTGCTATGTAGACGATATAATAACAGGAGCAAACTCCATAACAGATCTTCATATTAAATCTGATCAACTTGTGACAATGCTTGGCCGCGGAGGATTTTCTCTACACAAGTGGTCCAGCAATAATCAAGAATTTTTAAACACAATTGCACAAGAAAATCAAGAATTAGAAAATACGTGCTTCATTGATAAACTGGAATTTAAAGCATTGGGGTTATTATGGAACCCGACAGAAGACATTTTTAAGGCAACAATTCCATCAGCATTCCAAAGAACTTTCACAAAAAGAGCCATTTTATCAGCCATATCCCAAATCTTCGACCCAATGGGACTTATAGCCCCAGTCGTAGTCAAGGCGAAGATGATAATGCAAAAGATATGGAAACAGAAGACTGATTGGGATGAAGAAGTTCCAGCAACAATTAAAGAAGAGTGGAAAACCCTTCAAAATCAGTTCACTCTTCTAAAGAAATAAAGATTCAACGGTATATGTTCAAA